CAAAGTGACAGAAATACATGTTAATCCCAATAACTTCCAGAGAATGAGTGTATTGCTGGCAGCTCAAGTAACACTTTTTTTTACTTATATAATCTTGACTTGATAAGAATACTTTTATTTATCTCATATATTTATAGATATTTAGTAATACTTTTGCTGATGCTATGCTGTTTTATAAACAGCGTGAGGTTGCTATCCTAAAGAATGCAGATGTTACAATAAGTTTCATACGTCACATCAATGCTCTTTTTGATGCTTTAAATCGTAGATTGCCACAGGAAGGAATCAGACATGATTCAAATGATCTCAAGGTAATAGTAATGATTCACTAGCAAAAACTATAAATGTTTTAATTAACAACTTTTTAAAAATAGGTTATTGAAGAATCTCTAGAATGGTTAAATAGATGGGAAGCATTCAGATTACAGATTAGAAGCACTGATCAAAAGGGATTTTTGAGCCACCAGACAGCAGAAAATCTACGCTTGACGCTGACTAGTATCTTAGCACTCGTCAGACAATTGCTTCCAAACTCATATTATATCCTGACAGCTCACTTTAATCAGGACCCATTAGAGGTAAAATTGACTTAGTGTAATGATTATATAATCTTGTATTAAACCTTAACTTATGTTTTCATTTCAATTAGCGTTTCTTTGGAATGATAAGACAAGGAAGTGGAAGCAATTCTCATCCCACAACAGTGCACTTCTTATACCTGTACAGACTGATGACTGTGTACAGTTTGGTTCGTCCTCCCAAACGAGCATCAGTTCAAACTGATCCTGAATCTATCCTTATTACTTTAAAAAATCTTCTTCATAGTCATAAAAAACCATTTAATCGAGCCGAATAGTTTGGCCGAATATTCGGCTATTCGGCCACGCTCCTGGCCGAATATTCGGTATTCGGCCTCAGGCCGAATATACTATTCGTTACAACACTAATTTCAATTCGAGCTCGTGTTGATTCTAAACTTTTCATGGATAAATTAATACGCTAACCTCCTCGTCCACCGGGAGGCTAATGCCGAATACTTTATACGAGTATTGTATATAAAATTTGAAAATACAAACAACGAGCAAATATACTGGTGGCCATGTAAAATGCAACACCATGTAGGCAGTGGTGATATTCAGCAGGTTCGCACAGGTTCGGCCGAACCGTTGTTAACATTTTCAAAGTTTTCTGAACCTTGTTAAACACACGTAACATTTCTCAGTGCAGGGGCGCCGCTAGCTGTTTGAACGCCCGTGTGCAATACCGATTATGCCGCCCCCTGTTTAACTACGACTACCTGCGCTGAGCTTGCCAGAAAGGCTCTTTAGTGTTGTCTCATAAAGGTGTGAAAAAAGAAAAGAAATACTTTACAAAAAGAACTATTTATTATTACTAAGTTATTTTTATTTACTTAAGTGTAAAACCATATAAATATTTATCTACAGAAATTGAACTCTTCTTGCCTTCATGTTTGCGAAATCTGCTATCAATTTTCTTGTATCCAAGCTGTCTAAGATTTCATGTTCAATTGAAACTATAGCTATAAACTAAATTACTTAGTCTTTGCTGGTGCATTGTTGATCTTAAATNTTTTTTTTTTTTTTTTTTTTTTTTTTTTTTTTTTTTTTTTTTTTTTTTTTTTTTTTTTTTTTTTTTTTTTTTTTTTTTTTTTTTTTTTTTTTTTTTTTTTTTTTTTTTTTTTTTTTTTTTTTTTTTTTTTTTTTTTTTTTTTTTTTTTTTTTTTTTTTTTTTTTTTTTTTTTTTTTTTTTTTTTTTTTTTTTTTTTTTTTTTTTTTTTTTTTTTTTTTTTTTTTTTTTTTTTTTTTTTTTTTTTTTTTTTTTTTTTTTTTTTTTTTTTTTTTTTTTTTTTTTTTTTTTTTTTTTTTTTTTTTTTTTTTTTTTTTTTTTTTTTTTTTTTTTTTTTTTTTTTTTTTTTTTTTTTTTTTTTTTTTTTTTTTTTTTTTTTTTTTTTTTTTTTTTTTTTTTTTTTTTTTTTTTTTTTTTTTTTTTTTTTTTTTTTTTTTTTTTTTTTTTTTTTTTTTTTTTTTTTTTTTTTTTTTTTTTTTTTTTTTTTTTTTTTTTTTTTTTTTTTTTTTTTTTTTTTTTTTTTTTTTTTTTTTTTTTTTTTTTTTTTTTTTTTTTTTTTTTTTTTTTTTTTTTTTTTTTTTTTTTTTTTTTTTTTTTTTTTTTTTTTTTTTTTTTTTTTTTTTTTTTTTTTTTTTTTTTTTTTTTTTTTTTTTTTTTTTTTTTTTTTTTTTTTTTTTTTTTTTTTTTTTTTTTTTTTTTTTTTTTTTTTTTTTTTTTTTTTTTTTTTTTTTTTTTTTTTTTTTTTTTTTTTTTTTTTTTTTTTTTTTTTTTTTTTTTTTTTTTTTTTTTTTTTTTTTTTTTTTTTTTTTTTTTTTTTTTTTTTTTTTTTTTTTTTTTTTTTTTTTTTTTTTTTTTTTTTTTTTTTTTTTTTTTTTTTTTTTTTTTTTTTTTTTTTTTTTTTTTTTTTTTTTTTTTTTTTTTTTTTTTTTTTTTTTTTTTTTTTTTTTTTTTTTTTTTTTTTTTTTTTTTTTTTTTTTTTTTTTTTTTTTTTTTTTTTTTTTTTTTTTTTTTTTTTTTTTTTTTTTTTTTTTTTTTTTTTTTTTTTTTTTTTTTTTTTTTTTTTTTTTTTTTTTTTTTTTTTTTTTTTTTTTTTTTTTTTTTTTTTTTTTTTTTTTTTTTTTTTTTTTTTTTTTTTTTTTTTTTTTTTTTTTTTTTTTTTTTTTTTTTTTTTTTTTTTTTTTTTTTTTTTTTTTTTTTTTTTTTTTTTTTTTTTTTTTTTTTTTTTTTTTTTTTTTTTTTTTTTTTTTTTTTTTTTTTTTTTTTTTTTTTTTTTTTTTTTTTTTTTTTTTTTTTTTTTTTTTTTTTTTTTTTTTTTTTTTTTTTTTTTTTTTTTTTTTTTTTTTTTTTTTTTTTTTTTTTTTTTTTTTTTTTTTTTTTTTTTTTTTTTTTTTTTTTTTTTTTTTTTTTTTTTTTTTTTTTTTTTTTTTTTTTTTTTTTTTTTTTTTTTTTTTTTTTTTTTTTTTTTTTTTTTTTTTTTTTTTTTTTTTTTTTTTTTTTTTTTTTTTTTTTTTTTTTTTTTTTTTTTTTTTTTTTTTTTTTTTTTTTTTTTTTTTTTTTTTTTTTTTTTTTTTTTTTTTTTTTTTTTTTTTTTTTTTTTTTTTTTTTTTTTTTTTTTTTTTTTTTTTTTTTTTTTTTTTTTTTTTTTTTTTTTTTTTTTTTTTTTTTTTTTTTTTTTTTTTTTTTTTTTTTTTTTTTTTTTTTTTTTTTTTTTTTTTTTTTTTTTTTTTTTTTTTTTTTTTTTTTTTTTTTTTTTTTTTTTTTTTTTTTTTTTTTTTTTTTTTTTTTTTTTTTTTTTTTTTTTTTTTTTTTTTTTTTTTTTTTTTTTTTTTTTTTTTTTTTTTTTTTTTTTTTTTTTTTTTTTTTTTTTTTTTTTTTTTTTTTTTTTTTTTTTTTTTTTTTTTTTTTTTTTTTTTTTTTTTTTTTTTTTTTTTTTTTTTTTTTTTTTTTTTTTTTTTTTTTTTTTTTTTTTTTTTTTTTTTTTTTTTTTTTTTTTTTTTTTTTTTTTTTTTTTTTTTTTTTTTTTTTTTTTTTTTTTTTTTTTTTTTTTTTTTTTTTTTTTTTTTTTTTTTTTTTTTTTTTTTTTTTTTTTTTTTTTTTTTTTTTTTTTTTTTTTTTTTTTTTTTTTTTTTTTTTTTTTTTTTTTTTTTTTTTTTTTTTTTTTTTTTTTTTTTTTTTTTTTTTTTTTTTTTTTTTTTTTTTTTTTTTTTTTTTTTTTTTTTTTTTTTTTTTTTTTTTTTTTTTTTTTTTTTTTTTTTTTTTTTTTTTTTTTTTTTTTTTTTTTTTTTTTTTTTTTTTTTTTTTTTTTTTTTTTTTTTTTTTTTTTTTTTTTTTTTTTTTTTTTTTTTTTTTTTTTTTTTTTTTTTTTTTTTTTTTTTTTTTTTTTTTTTTTTTTTTTTTTTTTTTTTTTTTTTTTTTTTTTTTTTTTTTTTTTTTTTTTTTTTTTTTTTTTTTTTTTTTTTTTTTTTTTTTTTTTTTTTTTTTTTTTTTTTTTTTTTTTTTTTTTTTTTTTTTTTTTTTTTTTTTTTTTTTTTTTTTTTTTTTTTTTTTTTTTTTTTTTTTTTTTTTTTTTTTTTTTTTTTTTTTTTTTTTTTTTTTTTTTTTTTTTTTTTTTTTTTTTTTTTTTTTTTTTTTTTTTTTTTTTTTTTTTTTTTTTTTTTTTTTTTTTTTTTTTTTTTTTTTTTTTTTTTTTTTTTTTTTTTTTTTTTTTTTTTTTTTTTTTTTTTTTTTTTTTTTTTTTTTTTTTTTTTTTTTTTTTTTTTTTTTTTTTTTTTTTTTTTTTTTTTTTTTTTTTTTTTTTTTTTTTTTTTTTTTTTTTTTTTTTTTTTTTTTTTTTTTTTTTTTTTTTTTTTTTTTTTTTTTTTTTTTTTTTTTTTTTTTTTTTTTTTTTTTTTTTTTTTTTTTTTTTTTTTTTTTTTTTTTTTTTTTTTTTTTTTTTTTTTTTTTTTTTTTTTTTTTTTTTTTTTTTTTTTTTTTTTTTTTTTTTTTTTTTTTTTTTTTTTTTTTTTTTTTTTTTTTTTTTTTTTTTTTTTTTTTTTTTTTTTTTTTTTTTTTTTTTTTTTTTTTTTTTTTTTTTTTTTTTTTTTTTTTTTTTTTTTTTTTTTTTTTTTTTTTTTTTTTTTTTTTTTTTTTTTTTTTTTTTTTTTTTTTTTTTTTTTTTTTTTTTTTTTTTTTTTTTTTTTTTTTTTTTTTTTTTTTTTTTTTTTTTTTTTTTTTTTTTTTTTTTTTTTTTTTTTTTTTTTTTTTTTTTTTTTTTTTTTTTTTTTTTTTTTTTTTTTTTTTTTTTTTTTTTTTTTTTTTTTTTTTTTTTTTTTTTTTTTTTTTTTTTTTTTTTTTTTTTTTTTTTTTTTTTTTTTTTTTTTTTTTTTTTTTTTTTTTTTTTTTTTTTTTTTTTTTTTTTTTTTTTTTTTTTTTTTTTTTTTTTTTTTTTTTTTTTTTTTTTTTTTTTTTTTTTTTTTTTTTTTTTTTTTTTTTTTTTTTTTTTTTTTTTTTTTTTTTTTTTTTTTTTTTTTTTTTTTTTTTTTTTTTTTTTTTTTTTTTTTTTTTTTTTTTTTTTTTTTTTTTTTTTTTTTTTTTTTTTTTTTTTTTTTTTTTTTTTTTTTTTTTTTTTTTTTTTTTTTTTTTTTTTTTTTTTTTTTTTTTTTTTTTTTTTTTTTTTTTTTTTTTTTTTTTTTTTTTTTTTTTTTTTTTTTTTTTTTTTTTTTTTTTTTTTTTTTTTTTTTTTTTTTTTTTTTTTTTTTTTTTTTTTTTTTTTTTTTTTTTTTTTTTTTTTTTTTTTTTTTTTTTTTTTTTTTTTTTTTTTTTTTTTTTTTTTTTTTTTTTTTTTTTTTTTTTTTTTTTTTTTTTTTTTTTTTTTTTTTTTTTTTTTTTTTTTTTTTTTTTTTTTTTTTTTTTTTTTTTTTTTTTTTTTTTTTTTTTTTTTTTTTTTTTTTTTTTTTTTTTTTTTTTTTTTTTTTTTTTTTTTTTTTTTTTTTTTTTTTTTTTTTTTTTTTTTTTTTTTTTTTTTTTTTTTTTTTTTTTTTTTTTTTTTTTTTTTTTTTTTTTTTTTTTTTTTTTTTTTTTTTTTTTTTTTTTTTTTTTTTTTTTTTTTTTTTTTTTTTTTTTTTTTTTTTTTTTTTTTTTTTTTTTTTTTTTTTTTTTTTTTTTTTTTTTTTTTTTTTTTTTTTTTTTTTTTTTTTTTTTTTTTTTTTTTTTTTTTTTTTTTTTTTTTTTTTTTTTTTTTTTTTTTTTTTTTTTTTTTTTTTTTTTTTTTTTTTTTTTTTTTTTTTTTTTTTTTTTTTTTTTTTT